TTGTTTGGGCATTTCTAAGTGTTGGTCAGAACCAATTTCTAGGCATGATGAGATGTGCCAAGATGTGACCCAAAGTGAAAGGAAGACCCGTGCGTGGCTGTGTTGCCCACTGGTACATCTATATGAGAACAGAAAAAGAGGAATTTATTCATCCAGAGAACCATGGGTTTTATTGGGGGCACTCTCCTCCAGGGACCTTAGTTTAATCCCTCTTCATGGGGTTTTAGCTGCCTGATGGCAGAACTACCTCTGATCACAGGCAGATCTCCAGCCAGCTGGAAAAGCCTGCCTATACCAGGCATCTGGACAGCTGCTGTGGCCTGCATCAATTACATGCGTCAATGAGAAGATGTGGAATTCGCCCTGTTTCTAAGAGATTTCCAGCTACAGATGAGTTACTACTTTGAAACAGCTTCCACAATTCCAGTCTGTGGGAGGAGAGAGAAGAAAATGCTCAATTTTAAAACAAACACACTTTCAGTGCCTTCTGTCCAGCCGGGATGGACTTGTTTGGTGAATTGGATTGATTAAGAGCCGCTTCCTTCGGAGGCCCAGCTTCTCTGTGCAGAGGAACCAAACCAGCTTATTGCAGTTTGCTTCAGAACTTGGAGAGGAGGAAGTGAATGATCACTGGAGGAGCCAGTCAGTCTAAAGGTTTGCGAGAACTGCAGATACTGTTCCAAATTTCCTAAATGGGAAGCAAGTGCATTCTTCAAACCCTCAGCCAGTGATCTGGACCTTGGTTTTTGGCCAAATCCTAGAAAACTGTATTGAAAGAATGGTTTGTGGTCTCTTAGAAAGAGAAGCACGATCTCGGTGGCACAACACGGGTTTGTCAGGAACAGGTCGATCCTGTCTAAGCTCATTGCCTTTCTGGGCAGAATGGCTAGTCTGGTAGATGCCCGCATGCCTGACAGAGTGAAAATCCAGATTTCTTTAAGACAAGTCTCTCCTGTTAGCCTTGAACAAGATAGAGACAAAACAGGACAAGGATTTGGAACTCATGGAATGAAATCTTCAAAGAGTCGTGATTAATGACGCAATGCCAGATTGAAGGGAGGTCTTTGGGGGGAGTGCTCCTGGGCTCTGCCTTGGCATGCTTCTGGTTAGCACTTACATCAGTGCTATTCAGGTGAAGATGAGCTCATTACTGCTCAGGATGACACAGGAGGCAGGCACTGCTGGTATCATCTCCTCATCTTACAAATTACACTACTGAGTTTCAGAGAGCTGCACAATGAGTCCCTGCTCCTGTAGCCTTGCCCCTGTCATGCACCTTGCAGGTGTGAGAGGAGGGACGTGAGTGTGGCTCTAACACAAGCACTCCACAGAGGCTCGCAGAGCTTGGGTGAGTCACTTCTTCGAATGCCTTGGTTTCCTGCCTATATGACACCACCCCTGCCTGCTGAGGGTCACAGAGTCATAGGTTTAGAGCTGGAAAGGAACTCAGATGCCATCTAGCTCAATCACCTCATTTTCCAGATGAGGAAACTGAGGCAGAGCTGAAGTGAAGTGACCAAGGTCATATAGGCAGAAAGTGGAAGAGACAGGATTTGAACTCAGATGTCCTGACTGCAGCCATTGAGGTGAGAAGGGAAAACAAAATGAGGGAACCACCAGAATTTCAGTCCAACCTCTTCCTGCACAAGAAGGCTCTTTTTTGGACAAATGGTCATGTAGTCTCTGCTCAGAGTCACCATAGAGGGAGCCTGCTCTCTTCCCCAGGGCTGCCCACCCAACTCTGGGATGGCTCCTGCTGTACTATTATGATTCCCTTTTTACAGTTGAGGAAACTGAGGCATTACAAATATGTGTGTATGTACGTATATATCCGCACACACACATATGATTTGTTGTTCAATCATTCAGTAGTGTTTGAGACTTCATGATCCCATGGACTATACTGTCCATGGGGTTTTCTTGGTGAATATACTGGAGTGGTTTGCCATTTCCTTCTCCAGTAGATTAAGGTAAACAGAGGTTAAGTGACTTGCCCAGGGTCACACAGCTAGAAAGTGTCTGAGGCTAGATTTGAACTCAGGTCTCTGTGACTTCAGGCCCAGGACTCTATTCATTGATTCACCTAGCTGCCTCTCTTGCCTCTCTCTCTCTTTCTCTCAATAAATAAAGCTATGGATACTACCCAATTATCCCTCCTCCTATAACAACAACAAAAAAAGACAGTTAAGGAAAAATGATGGATACTGTGACCATATCTCATGTTATATACAACATTCTGTTCCCATAGCCCCCCGCCTCTTTCCTAAGAGGATGGAAGTGGACAAGTGTGTTCCATCATGTGTCTACCAGGATTAGCCCTGGTCATCTTTGCTGGCTTTTTGTCCTCCCACTCTCTCTCCATACCCTTCCTTGGCCCGCTCCCCTCCCCTCCTCTCCTCTCCTCTCCTCTCTTCTCCTCTCCTCTTCTTTCCTCTCCCTCTCTCCTCTTCTCTCCCCACCTCCCCACCTCTCCACTCCCCTCTCCTCTCCTCTCTTCTCCTCTCCTTTTCTCTCCTCTCCCTCTCTCCTCTTCTTCCCCCACCTTCCCACCTCTCTTCTCCTCTCCCCTCCCTTCCTCTCCCCTCCTCTCCTCTCCTCTTCTCTCTGGGCACACTCTTTGTAGAAGATGTGCTATTGTCTCACCTCCTAAAAGGAGGCAGCTGTGGAAGAAGAAAGGCTTGGGGCTTCAGCTGCCGGGGGTGGGGTCACTTCTTGGCTTAGGAACAGAGGGAAGACCCTTCTTGCTCTGAGCTTTTTTTATTCCTTCTTAAAGAGGAGCTCCAACCTTCCCACACCCTGCCCTCTGCCATGTCTGAAGCATCATTTGTGGTCCTTTCTAATAGACTTACACTGTGTACTGCAGGCACCCAAGGATCATCTCCCTCTTCGCACGTCCCATGAGGCCAGGCCAAGGATCAGGACTTGTCTGTACTTTGTATCTTCCCCAGGGCTCACAGATCACACACATAGTAGGTGCTTAATTATTGTTTGCTTTTGTTCAAGGATGAAGAGGCCCAGTGACATCGTGGGCAATGTCTTGACTTGCCCATGAGTTGGGTTTAAGGGAGGCAGAGCTGCGCCAAGTTGCTGGCCTCACTCTCTCCTCCAGTCATTGCAGTCAAGAGGCCGACGTGCGATGGCCTGGGACACAGTGAATGACCTTGACATCTTTGATGTCTGACCAAACTCTAAGCCCTCCTCAGTGCCTGCCTCTGCCACCTTTATGGTCCTTGGAACACATTGTCCTCATCCGCCCCTTGCGCTGGGGAAATCTCCCAGGCTTGAGGCAGACGGCTCTCCCTGAGAGCTCTCGTTCCCCTCAGCCTGCTTTAAGGGCTTAGTTAACATTTGTGGAGTGGAGCCAAACCCTCTTCTCTGCATTTTCAGCTCTCACTTGACACCAAGGCCTGGATTTGCAGTTCCAGCTTGTTCAGGTACATCACCATTTGGATGCCAAGGGATCTCTCTTCATCTCCTCCTCAGCTCCCTGTCCTGGGTACTGGGCCTTGGTCCTCTGCCTGGGCAGGTCACAGGCCCTGGGTGTCACCATTGCCCAACCCCAGATGAACTTGATTAGACCATGTGTACCAGTCTTAGGGGGAGGGGGAGAACCACAGTTGAGCCCCTCTTAGAATTTCTCCAAGGGCCTACCACAGCCCCCACCCCCCTTAGCAGATGCCAAAAGAAATGGGGGTTGAATTGAGCAGAGAATAAAATGTGCCAGCATTAAGTGGATCATGAGAAGTGACCTTCACGACCCCCCAACCTTCCCCATTGGGTTGCTGCTTTCCAGGAGCCCCTGGGGCCTTGGCCTAGCCCCTGAATCACTCTCTACAATAGCCTGTTTTCAAGAGCTGCATGAGGGCTGACTTCACACTGGAAGAGGAATTAGTTCCCTTCCACTTGGCCCCAGAAATCAGAAGCAGGAGTACTGTGAGGGAGGGCTGAGAGGCATCTGTGGCTCTCCTAGAGAGGGTTGTCCAAAGGTGGGGCAGGGAGCTTTGGGGGAAGGCTCTCCAGGCTGGGCTGGATGCACTCTTGATGGGGAGGCCAAAGGACTGAGGCTTCGCCCAGATCAAGATTCTATGCTCGTGAGAACAGCACTGCCTGGCTTCCAGTGACCCCTGCTGGAAGCCTGCAGATGTCTGGACTCCTTCCTTTTTTCCATCCCATCCCCAAGCAGTCACTAAGTCCTCCCAATCCCTTCTCCTAAGACCCAGTGGGCTTCAGTGGAAACTGGAGGGGGTGTCAGAGGATGCAGGACCTGTGAGTGAGTCACAACTTGTCTGGCCTCAGTTTCCTCATCTGTAGCATGGGAGAACAATGGGCCTGTGAAGTCTTCTTTGCACTCCCAATGTAGGACACTCAGACTTCAACCTGGGCCTCCCATCCGTTCTCTCTGCTGCAAGCCCGTGGTGTTCATGGAAGGCGTGCTGGAATCGGGACTGAGTGCTGGCTCAGACATGGACCAGCTGTGTGACCTTGGGCGAGTCACCTCTGTGAAGTGGGGCTCCAGAGCGCGCACCTCTTTAGCACAGGGTTATTATGAGGACAGTGCTTTATACCACGAAGTGGGGCAGCAGGTGCTCATTGTCATGACTAGGGCTGTGCCCAGCTAGTGCCCTGTCTTCACTGTCCTGGTCAGTTCCCACACCTTAAAATCTATTTCCCCTGCTCAAATGCCCTTCCCTTCTTCTCCCTCTGTCCAGCCCCCCCCCCCCAAGGCCCTACTAGACCCAGCCTTCCCTGCCCACCCCAATCTGCACTGACTCTCCCTTCTCAGTCCTACTGACCTCAACCTCCAGTCTCCAGTCCTGGGTCAGACTGTCCTGGGCTGCTACCTCATTGTTTCTAGGGGAATCTTGTCCCTCTACCCAGACAGGGCCTTCTTCTCTGCCTCCCTGCCCAGAAGGTGAGGCCAAGATCAGCACCCAGGACCGGGGCTCAGTGACTTGGGGAAGGCTTATATGAACACAGAAAACACTTGAGGTGGAGTTTATTTCAGAGACACGAGACACTGTTTCTGAAGGGGAAGGGTCCAGCTGAGGTCCCTAGGACCCTGGCTTCTAGGTTTCAAACACAGAAGAGATACTTTGGCTTGTGTGGCCAACAGCCCTCCCTCCACCCTCCAACGTGGCTCCTCTTCCCTCCCTCCCCATCTTCTCTGTTCTGCCAGGGTACACAAGGCCTGGCTGGTGGGCCTCAACAGTAGCAGGAAGGAGATTGGGTTGGAAGGAAGCTATGTATCTTTTGGTGTTCCTACTCTGGCAGCTTGGGGAAACCCGCTGAGGAGGAGGAAGGCTGTCCCATAAATGGTGCAGTGGAAAACACTGGTTGTCAAGAGACCTGAGTCCTAGCCCCAGCTTCATTGTGGAGTGTCTGGATAACTGTGGCCATCATCTCCCCTCAGTTTTCCTATCTGTAAAATGACCTGGACTAGGGGTCTTCTGTAGTCCCTTCCATCCCTTCCTCTCTGACTCTGACCCTCTAGGCCTCCATTTCCCCAGCAGACAAGTGGAGACACTAATTCAGCTGCTGTTTCTCTCCTGGGGACATTGTGAAGACAAGAGTGCTCTGGCAAGTGTGACAGGGCTTGGATCTTCTGATCTGCTGGTTCCAGGTTTGGGCCATTTCCAGTCATCCTGAAGCCCCATTGCATGCTCCGACTTCTCTGACATCACTGTCCTTCTATGCCATCCACCCAGGCCCCTTTTCTCCTCTGTTCCCCCATGTCAAACTGCCCAAGAAAGAAGGAAGGCGAGGAAGAGGCAAGAGGAGCATCTGGAAGGGGGAGGGGTTAATAGCATCAGACAGTGGCTGTCTGCTTGATGCTGTGAAAGCTGATCCTTGTGGGGGACGTGGGGATTGACATGGCCCGGGCAACCCGGACCCGTAGGGAGTGGTGATCTTGCCACCTGCGCCATCTCTTCCTCACAGCTGCACGGACCTGGAGAAAGAGAGAGAAAGAGACAGAGCGAGAGAGACAGAGACAGACAGACAGACAGACATAGACACAGAGACACACAGAGGGAGACACATAGAGAGAGAGGACAGGGGAAGGGCCAACCTGACTTTGCCATTGGGACTTTGGTGGGCAAGGCTGTGGCTTGCACCCATCCACTGGGCCCACTTTCAGGGAACTGATTGCATTGAATCTCTTCCCCATTGTGTAAATAGTGATAACAGCAGTAGCTGTTGTTTCTGTTGGGTTTGCCAAGTGCTTGACAGACAACTGTCACAACAGCCATGGCAGGAAGGGGCCATAGGTGTTATCATCTCCGTTTTGCAAATGAGAAGACCAAGACTGAAACCGATTCGCTGTGTGTCTGGTGCCTGAACCTGAGTCTTGCTGGCATCAGTTCTAACCCTGTGATGCTGCATCCCTAAGTGGGACACTGAGTGAATGCAGTGGGATAGCTTTCACAATGTGCCCAAAGTGAATACACGGCTGGGCTGAGGAACATCTCTAATGATGACCATGAGAATGATCACAACAAAAACTGTGAAATGAACCATGGCATATTTGGAAAGTCACTGACCCCACACAGTATTACCCAAACCCAGGGCTTCTGACCCTAAGGCAGCTGCAGAAAGGGGCTCACTCTTTGCCAACAGACTTTCTCAGGGCAATAATAAACAGATCAAAAGCCCATAGAAATGTGGTTGGAACAAGTCCATAGCATTTCTCCAGACAGGAATCGATATAACTGATTATAGGCATCCTGTATGCCATGGTGATGTCCAAGCAACGTCAGCAGGCCTTGAGGAAGGCAGAGGCACAGGGTCTATCTCATGCTCGGACAGTGTGGATGGGCTGAAGTCTGTGCTGTTAGAGGGAATGTCCTCACAGATGAGGTCACAGATTCACTGAAACATCATGTTTTCTTTTACTGAGGTTTTCTAGAATTAACCATCCCCTTTCCCCAGACCTCTGGGGAGTCTATTACCTGCTGCTGCTGAGGCCTCATGGGGAGAATTTTCAAACTTGAAACATTTGGGAGCAGTTAGAGTTTTTGGTAGAGTTCTGCCTGCCTCCTATTTAATGGGATTTGCCTCATTTGTTCCCTTGGTGGCCAAGCCCTGGGGGTCAGCCTGCCCTCATGTCCTCTCCTTTCAGTGGCCTGGCTTGAGCCGACTCATTAAGAAGGCTCGAGGCTTGCTTCGGTTGGTCCTGGCTCTCCTCTCCACAGATGCTTAGGGGACTCTTGGGGGCCTCATTTCTAGGGCCAGGGCTGGAGGGAACAGGAAGGAGATAGAGTCAAGGGAAGCAGTACTGGGGGCCAGGACATCTGGGCTCTCTTCTCCACCCTTCTGTTGACTGAATGAGTGCCCTTGCCTGCATCCCTTGTCCTTCCTGGGACTCATTTTCCTCACATGTAAAATGAGGGGTTTGGTTGGGCTCTCTGCAGCCACTGCTAGCTTTGGTATTCTAAGTCTCTGAGTGCTGCTGACAGAATGATTCATTGTTTAGTAGAAGCATTCTCCACAAGGTCCCTCAAGATAGGAAGTTTCCCTGGGGCTATTTAACAGTCTTGGACCTGGTTCCAACCCTGATTTAACCACTGCTTATGTCAGCCTGGGTGAGTCATCTTTTGGGGCAAAAGTCACCTATCAAAAGAGGGGATTAGAGGAGACCTCTAGGGAGACTTCAACCCTTCCTCGGTGATCTGATCACTAATGGTCCTTCTAGCCTAAAGGTTCTCAGACTCACTGTTCTGGAATGGCCTTTGGCCTCCACTCTCCCAAACCAGGGAAGACTTGTTTCAGAGTTCTCTTCTTCCAGGACACCTTCTCCAGTAAACCCACACTACTCTCCTCCCTCCTGTCTTGGTTTCATGCTCAGAAAGGGGGCAACGTGGAGTCTCTCTGCTTCTGTTTTTGCATGCTTGGTCATCTGGGATTTGGCTATTTTGAGCTTGTCCAACTCCATGGATTGCCAAAGGTTGACTGCCTTTCTTCCCCTTAGCTCAGAGCTCCCCACTAAGAGCTTTGGAGATGCCTTGAAAGCTCAGCTCACTCACCTCTCCATTCAGGAAGCAGTAGAACACAGAGACAAAGAAGCCCTGGTGAGGAAGGAGGGAGCTCATTAGTGCCACATTCCTAGGCAACATCAGTCAGACCCTCCTTGGAGCCATGGGACAGAAAGGGATTATGGGGGAGAAGTGGGAAGGGAGGAGGGGGACACCTTTTTGGTGACTTTGCCTAGCTCCCCACAGAGCAGGGAGGACAACGCAAGTCCACCAGACCATAGTTCTAGATGAACAGTGGGGAAGGAGAAGGGCAGGGGAAGGAAGAGAAGTGTAGCATTCATAACATCTGTAGATGTTGGCAGGGTGCTGTCCAAGGTACTGAGCTTAGTTCCCTAGGACAGTTACATTCCTACAGAAGACACTGCTATTATATGGCCCCAGGCTTAGCCCTGTCCCCTGTGCTAGGATTGGCCAAGGTTAGGGAGTCATTCTGAGCTGGGGATTAAAGAGAAGGGCCATCTTTACTGGGGGGGAGGGGTCAGTTTGTGTCCACGTGTGGGTACTTGTGGGCAGGTATGTGTGTCTATGGGCATCTGCTCATGTATATCTTTGGTGCTGAACTTGCATAAGTATCTCTGCAGGTGGGTACAAGTCTGAATTTGTGCATGTCTCCAATGTGCCTGGGCAGTAGCATCTGAGCGGGCATCTTCTCTCTTTCTGTGTGCATCAGGGCGCATGTGTGTGAGTGTGCGTATGGCTGTGTGCAGGTTTGGTTCACACGCACAGAGGTTGGATAATGCACACAATCAGCTGTTGGTCATCTCTCCATAGATCATCTTCCCTCTCATGTCCACAGTCAATCTCAGGTCAGTTTTCTCCTGGCCCACTCTTCTCACAGTGTGAACCCCACTTCTCACTCCCTGCTATTGCAAAAGGGGTCCCAGATTCCTTTTTATAACAACCTTCAGTAACATATTCAGTAACACACAAGCATGCACCCACATGCTGGCACCTCCCCTGACTAGGCACTCAGTGTGCATGCATGCCCCAGGCCCCCCTCCATTCCCTCCTGACCCCCCAGACTCCAAAGCTCTGACCTGGAAGGACTGCAGGAAGGAATTGAAGTAAATGAACACAATCTGGGACACATCGTCATCTCCAGGGTTGACAAAGAAGAGCATGTAGGTGATGCCCAGGAGGGGCAAGAGGACCAGGGTCGCCTTTACTGCCTTCCTGGGTGGGGAAGGAGAGGAGAGATGCCCAAGGTCATTGAAGCAGGGGGACTGTGGGCACTCCTTCTCCCTGATGGCACAGGAGGTGAGGACAGTGCAGGCCCCCTGGGATCCAGCATCAATTCAACTTCATCTTGCAGGCCCATGGGCATGGGCCTTAGCATGTTGTGGGACAGGAAGCCCAATGTGGGCAGGAATGACAGCCTCAAGTTTTGTGCCCAGTGCCCAGTGCCCAACCCTGTGCCTGATTCAAAGCTCTTGTGCACTGCTGGTGTTTAATAAAGGCTTGTGCACTGGTGTGGAGATACATGCGCACACACACATACACATAGAGATATACATATTACACACATATATGCATGTATAAGGTGGGGCACATTTGTGGAGCCTGAGGCCTCTCTCTCAAGGGATTCTCTTAGGAGTGAGCTCATGTCTGTGACCACACCTTCCATCTGGCAGTCCAACTCTACTAGACCTTGCAAGTGCTCAAAGCACAGGGATTGAGGAGCATTTTCAAATACTGAGTGAAAGGCTGGAAGGAAGAGTAGCTCTAGGGAAAAGAGAAATGAAAAGAGAGGAGAAAATCTAGAGTTAGGGAAACACAGGGGCAGAAGGGACAACCTGGGGCTGGGGAACCCAAAGACAGAGGGGGAGATCTGGGGGCCAGGAGAGCCGCAGGGCAGAGGGGGGAGATCTAGGGGTCAGGGGAGCCTCAGGACAGCAGGGAGATCTAGGGGCCAGGGGAGCCCAGGACAGCAGGGAGATCTAGGGTTCAGGGGAGCTCCAGGGCAGAGGGGGAGATCTAGGGGCCAGGGGAACCCCAGGACAGCAGGGAGATTTAGGGGCCAGGGGAACCCCAGGACAGCAGGGAGATCTAGGGGTCAGGGGAGCCTCAGGGGAGAAGGAATGGTCCAGGGTTAGGGAAGCACAGAGGTGGGCGGAGGACAGGGAGACATTGCTGGTACTGATTCCTAACTGATTTCTAGACATAGGTTCATAACTCAACATATTGGGGATGACATCTATAGGAACATGGTTTTCACTTTAGAATGGAATTAAATGGAACATTGGCAGGATTCATTTCACAGAAAATCACTTTACAACTCATTTGGTTGACCACATCTGTCCCCTTGAAACAAGGGATTCTTAAACACAAAAGGGAGGGAGGAAGTGAACGAGGGTGGGCACTGAGCAGCCCTGGAAGAGGGTCAGAATGAGGGCAGGTCCTGGCAAAGGGGGAGGCACCATGTCATAAGATGAGTAACAAAAGGGAAGGAAAGAAAGCAGCAAAGCACATGTAACCCTCCTCGATCCAAGGGGACACTTCTGTAGGTCTACCAAGGCCATTTGTTCTCACTTGTTGGGTAGATGTACAGTGTGGGAATCAGCACTCTCCTTGTACAGAGTTGGGAGATGAAGCACAAAGCAGTTCAGTAAATGGCACGAGGGTGCACATCATCCGGGACCAAGTACTTTACCTCTGATCTAGCCCCCTTCTGCCTGTTTTGCAGCTCAATTTCCACCAAGTTAGCCACAAGCAGGACTCCCCGCCAAAGAGCAGGAGATGGAGAAGGGGCCTCCTCTTCTTGAACACTGGCAGAGCACTTTCCCTCTCTCTCTCAATGGCTTCAGATCAGCCATTGCAACTTGGCCACAAGGCAGGGGATGGATGAATGGCGCCCATAGGGTAGCCACTTACCTGTATTGCATTGTCTCTGAAGTGGTAGATGCTCGAAGCTTTGTCATCAAAATTCTAACAATGTTGAACAGGAAAATGAAATTGATCTAGAGGGAGACAGACAGACAGAGACTAGTAGTGACCCTGGGATGAGCTAGGAGACAGTTTCTGCACAAGCAACAATCTGTTGAACTCCACGGCACTCTCTCTCTGTCTCTCTGTCTCTCTGTATCTCTCTCTCTCTCTCTCTCTCTCTCTCTCTCTCTCTCTCTCTCTCTCTCTCTCTTCATCTTCTCTGCTCTTCCTCTGGCCTCTGCCCTTTGGCCTGACACTTTCATCCCTCTCTCAAGGTCCAGCTCAAATGTCACCTGTCCCGTGATTCCCCCAAGAGGCAGAGAATGATCTCCCTGGCCTCTGACTTCCCCAAGCACTTTGGACCTCCCATGGTGCCTTGAGCCACCTGTCTTCTGTTGGACAGAAGCCGTAAGTGTCAGAGATGAAAGGGGCCATTGAGATCTTCTAATCCAATGACTCATTTTTATAGAGGGGGACACTGACACTCAGATGTGGGAAGAGACTTGCTCAAGGTCAAGCAGCAGCAGAGCCTGGGCAGGTCTTGGTCCTCTGGGTGAGCTGCTGAGACCTGGCTGGAACTTCTCCCCCTGAAGCCAAAGGGAGGGAACTATGGGGTCTTGGTGCTCCTTGACTGAACTGGAGAAGACCATGCCACTAGGTAGGGTCTGGTCCTCCTTGACTCCTTTGAGATGGTAAGATGAAAGGGGGTGAAACAGCATCTGTGTAATAAGCCATTGGGCCAATACTGCCTCAGTGGCCCCACTCAGGAGCAGGGAGATCCTCAAGAAAGAGGGCCTCAGGGGATTATAATTCCCAAGACTAAAGGATCTCTTTAAAGTTGAAAAGGGCTTCAGCAGCAGCTCGCCCAAGCCGCCTATGAACAAGAACCCCAACTTTAATGCCCCCGACAAGTGACCATCCAGCAGCAGCTTGAAGGCTTCAATGAGGGGGTGTTGGTGGGTAACAGGGAATTTTGGGGCTTAAGCAGGACTTCCTAACACTAAATCAAATGGGGCTTGAGACAGAGCTTGAGATTGACTCTTTTACTAGGAAGCAGGTTCAAAAACTGAACCAACACCTGAGGGATCTTATCATATGGCTAGCTCTTCTGTATTCCAAAAGCACTTGACCTTTGGAACCTAAAACTTGAGGGACTAAAAGACTTCTTACAGTGAGAAAACTGTAAGTGATCAAGTCTCTTGGAGGGGATAGACTCGTTTAATTATGGAGAGAAAGCAGCTCAGATTTTCTTCCTAGTCCAGTGACTGTATTAAAGGCTTGCTTTTTTGGGGGGGGCTAGGCAATGGGGTTAAGTGACTTGCCCAGGGTCACATAGCTAGTTAAGTGTTATGTGTCTCAGGCCGGATTTGAACTCAGGTCCTCCTGAATTCAGAGCCAGTGCTCTATCCACTGTGTCACCGAGCTGCCCCCATGGCTTGCTTTTTTAATGAAAGAGCTGAAGCTTTGGCGCTATGCTCTAAGCTAAGCTAAAGAGGACAGAGTCCCATTACTTAGTACCTTAGCTGAGGACTGTAGCTAAGGCCCTGAGGTGGGGGAAAACACACACACACACACACACACACACACACACACACACACACACACACGCAGATTCAACAGACAGACAGAGACAGAGAGATAGACAGAGACAGAGAGACAGACAGAGATAGGGAGATAGACAGAAACATATAGGGACAGAGAGAGACAGAGAGACAGAGACAGAAAGTGCAGAAAGTGTTATGGGGAAATATTTTATTACTACTTTTCTTACTATGCTGTTTCATTGAATGTCTTTAGTTTGAACTAATTGTATCCTCTGGCTGACAAGTAAGATGTTGGTGGGGGCCCATGAACCATGGTTTGAGTAGATGGGGATGAGGTATCTTTTCTGCAGGTGTGCCTACAAGGGGGAGAACTTTCTGGGTCCCCATAAGGATTATTAACTATTATCTACTGCTTGGCCACCATCTTGTCAGATAGTACCTGTCACTTAATAGTTGCTGAGGAAATGTTTGTTGATTATTGCTTGATTCTCCTAGCCTCCATCTGCCTCTTCAACCTTCCCTCCACCTTCAGCTCTCTCTGAACTTTCTTCCTCGATAGAGGAAGGACTCTTGGAGCCCCTCCTGGAGGAATGCCTTTTTCAGCTACTGGGCCCAAGTCAGGTACCAAAGCATCAGATCTGGACACAGTCCAGGCCTAACCCGACCTTTTAAAGAAGGGACCTTACAGTTACTGTGCCCTTCTCAGATGGCATTTAGAATTGAATGTCTCTTTCTCTCTCTCTCTCCCTTTCCTGGAGAATCAGCTTAACATTTAAGAAAGCTGCACCTGGCATTGTAGCTTGGGCCCAAATGAGAAGGTCAGCTCATTTGGGGAGAGCTGTGACCCAGGATGATATGAGCAGAAATTCTTGGTGTGAGGGGGGGAGCAGGAGGGGAAAAGAAAGAAACTTTTTAAAAATCATAATGTTCTTAACCCTTTCCATCCTCCAGTGTGGACCATGACCTCCCTGGAGTAACCAAAGTTATGGAGAGAAAGCCCATTCAAAGGTACCTTCCTTTGCCTCCCATCTACAGATTCCTGGAGCCACATGGACAGATGAGACTCAGAGAGCCTGCACGGATCACAGAAAGTTGCTCCATCAAGAATCTTTTTCACCATCTCTAGGACACAGATTCCTCAGCCTTCCTTGGCACTTTGACCTAGGCTGGTAGTTGGTAAGTTCTTTTCCAATCCAGTGGGTGGACAAATGCCCCCAATTCTCCCTCCACCCCATCTCCAGTATTTGTCTGTTTGTCTCCACTCCCACCATGGTCCAGGCCTTAATGAGTCTCACTCAGACCCTGCAACACTCTGCTTCTGGCTCTCCCCCTCCAATTCCTCCCCTACCAATGGCTGCCAAAATGGTCTTTCTGAAGCACAAGTCTGACCCTGCTCAAGTCTTCACTGGCTCCCTATTGCTTGCCTCTAGCACGAAACAGAAATTCCTTGGCTTGGAATTTAGAACATTTCACAGCTTGGCTGGAACCTAGCTTTCCAGGCTTGTTCCACATGGCACCTCTAGACACACCCTATGTTCCAACCAAATGGAGTTACTAGTCTCTTCTTGAACTGACCATTTCTCTTTTCTCCCCCATGCCTTTGCCATCATGATTCTGTCTGGGATACCTTTCCTCTTCACCTCCACCTTTCAGAATCCCTACTTTTCTTCAGAGCTCAGGTGGGTGACCATCTCCCCCAGGAAGCCTTGCCCAGGCTTCCTGATGACTAGCCCTCCTGGGCTCCCTCCTCAAACCACCTTAAAGTTCCCTCAGTTGGGGTGGGAGAGTAGGGGCTCTGAGCTGACACCATCCAACCTCCATTCACCACACATGTATGTGAGTAAACGAATGTGGGGATCTTACTACTTGGCTGGTGTCCAGTTGCACAGTATGAGAGGATCACGGACAAGGGTGGGGGGGGAGTGAGATTCAAAGTGGTGCAGTCATGACAGCATCCCCTCTCTTCTAATGTCCCCCGCTCCCCACAGTGGTCTAGGAGACCTCCTGGGAGACTCTAACCCAAACCCTCAACCCTTCCCAGAAGCTAGAGCTTCAAGGATGGAAAAGTGCTCTAAGCTGGAGTCTCTGCAGGAGCCTTTCTGGCCCCCCTTCCCCACCCACCAGCTCCTGGGGCCTTCCCTCTGGGCTGGACTGTCCTCTCTCTGTCTCTTCTTTTTACATAGTTGTTTGATGAGTGTTTCTCCCATCAGACTGGGAGCTCCTCAACAGCAGGCACTGTTTTGTATCCCAAGCGCATAATAGGAGCTTAACAAGTGCTTGTCGAATGACTGACTGAAAGTTCAAGAAAGGCTAATTCAGTACCGTGGAGAGCTCATAGCCAACCGCACCTCAGGCAGGGCCAGCAGCGGCTCTGGCTCCCTCCCAGATTCCTGGGGCCGCAGGAGATCAGGGTATTCGTCTCCTTTCTGTCTTCAAAATATCCACCCCCATGTGGTGGGACCCTGGGCATACTTGTCACCAGATGGATATTAAAAATCCTGCTACACACACAAAGCATCTCGGCTAATATTCTAGCAAGGGCATTGGGACCGGCCCTGCGCTGTGCTTCGAAGGGAGCTGGGGGTGCTGTAGGTAGGCTAAGGAGGGGCTTGTCCTAGCCATAGGGGTGGCTTTTACAAAGGCGCGGAGGTGGAAGATGACATGGTGAGTGGAGGCAGGACTGAAGGGAGGACTGTCTAGTGGGCCAATGTGACACTTGGGGGGAAGAGAGCTATGTGCTTTACTGACTCATTGATTCTGACTCTTCTGACTCACCTTGCCAACCAAGTGACTTTTCTTTTTCTTTCTCCTTCAAATAATTCAGGTCAGACAAGTCTATTATGTGCAAGACCAATTGCAAGGCGCTGGGATATGAAGACGAAAGCTCAATGGTCTCTGGCCTCAAGGAATTTACGATCGGCTGCGGAGAAGTGACAGGGATCACCAAGGGGGAGGAGGGATCTGGGGCTTCAGGAGCAGCTGAGTGGCTGTGGCTAAGAAGAGGCTGTGTCCTCTGCCTGGCCCACTGGGAAGGTACCTCGGCTATGCGGATGTGACAGTGCCTAAGCACAAGCACCAGGTAAACCATCTTATAGAAAAGGGAAGTTACTAATCACTTTGCTTTGGGGGAGAGAGACAGAGCCCCGGGAGACGCTGGCGAGTTGAGGTTGTCCAGGCCTGGGACACAGTGTCCTCCAAGCCAGCCTTGGGGTCCATGACCAGCATCCTTGCCTATTTTCTTCTTCAGAACAAGGTGGTCTGTAGTAGCCACCCACGACGATATCACATTTGCATCTTTCTCCATTGGCCATTTGGTCAGTCTCCGCCCCCCCACCCCGCCCCGCCTCCCCACTCGGGTGCCTGGATTTCTCCTCATGTGCTTATGTTCTTACTTGACATGCAATGCGACTTCCTCTTCCCCAAATGTCTTTTGAATTTCTTCAGAATAAAATCATACCTTTCCAATAAGTCTTAATGATATCTACGAG